CATCTGGCGTGGGTACCTTGCTGATGGTGCTGTGCGAGGACCTGGGCCCAGGCTGCCCCGCCCCATTTTTACCCCCTTTCCTGGTCCCTCTCCTGCAGACGCCGACGCCGCCGATGCTGCTCCTCCTCCGCTGGCCAAGTGGGTCACAGGGCTTGGCCAAATGGGCCATCCAACAGCCCCCGCTGAAGACCCTCTTGGGCATTTTTGGAAGGCCCTGAATGGGCCAGGGGAGGGCATGAAGGTGGGGTTGATCTGCCCACCCAATTACCTGCCCCACAAGACATGCTTCCTGTTCTTCCAGAGCAACGGCTGGATCTGTTGCCGAGGCACAGAGTGTGGCTGTGCACATGGGCTGTCCACGAGGAGGCTAAATAGGCTACCTTCAGGGTGGGTGGGATGTGTAGCTTAGAGTTCTCCGTGTAATGAAAGGCTGCAAAAAGGAACTTGTCAAAGCAGGTCCCACTGAGCATTCAAACCTGCCCTGTCCGGGCGCTGTGTGAGGCCACACGTGGAGCAGGACCTGCGAGGAACCTGACTTGCTCCCCCTTTGTGGGACTCTCTCTGTGCCACGTGGACAAGCTGTGCTGTCAGCTGGCTGGCCACATTGGGTGGGGTTGGCCAGGGGATGGCCACTGCCCACTTGCCACCCTGTCCGACAGAAGTGACCCCCAGCCTCGTTGACCTGATTCTGTTTCAGCAGGAGATAACTTCCAGTGGGCCATAGGGGAGTTGGGTGGGGGGTGATTTGCACCTGGGACCTGCTGGGACTCTTCAGCTGAGCTACCAAGGTTGGGAGGCCGAACCAGTTCCGCTGGCAGGAGGTTTGCTGACTGTCCCTTCAGAAAGCTAGCTCTTCCATTTCAGTGACCAGTTACATGGACATTATGTAAAAACAACAACAACAACAATAATAATTCTTAGGGTCCATCTGACCATAAGAAGCCATTCTATTAATGTGCTCCTCAAAGTTCCTTTGCTTGCCGCCTTCTTAATAGCAACAGTTGGTATTTTAGACTGCAAAGTGTACAGCTACACAACAGGAAAAAATGGGAAGTAATCCTCTGTAAAGTTGCACCGAGGAAGTCTGGTTTCTTCGGGTGAATTTCCTTTAGCAAATGACACAGGAGTCAGGAGAGGGAGAGAGCAGAGGAAACTGCCCATCTGAACGGGTTAGCACCGTGTTAACGTAGCTCTGCTGCAGCTACCCAGATCTGCTGGAGGCACAGCTACTGCCGAGCTCCCCTTCACAAGGAGCACACAAAGGCTGGCCGCCAATTTCCTCCTTTCTGCTGGTCTCTAGCTCCTCTCGTGCACCAGTGCTGGTACCAAGCCTTTGTTTGTTTGAGCCAAAGAGATGCTTGGTTGAGGAAAACTGACCCTCCTGAGATGCACCTTGGCTTCCTCTCTCCCCACCTGAAATGAAGAAGCTGAGAGAGGCAGCTTCTGGTCACCCACCACCTCAGCTGAAGCCGTCACACTTTCTGAACAAATGTAAGTGCCTTTGGTTGTTTAAAAAGCAGAAGCCCCAGTGACAGAGGGGGGAAAGTAAGGGGGGGGTCTCTGTGTTGATTCGCACTGTCTTGTACATCACGTAGTGAAAGGAAAATCAGGTGACCTGACCCCCCCAATCCCAGAGTGTTCCTCACATTGTTAATGTAGTTCCCCCCTCCCCCGAAAGC